TGATCGCTCGCTATCTGGCTGGAAAAGATGGTCCGGAAGCTTCCTCTCTCCCAGCAAGCAAGACGAGATCACCACTTCTCTCAGTAATGGACTTCCTTTACTTCATAACCTTAGCCTTAGATGTCCTTTCATAGATTCTCGAACCTCCGACAGACAGAATCTCCATGCATGCGTTCTTTCTCTCCTCCCCTCAGCCATACATCCCTTTTTTTCTTTTGGCCGTTTTTGTTAGGCATTGAAACCCACCCCACGGAGCAGCGCTGAGTGGTTTCCTCCCCTCCCTAATACCTAAACAGAGTTCCGTCTGTGGAGCCTAAAGCTTAAACCATGGCATGGCGCAGTAAGTTGGCCTAGTCTCTCGCCCAGCCTTCGCCTTCTTCGGTGGCCAAGTTGAAGCGTTCAACGTCGGCCTACCACCTTTTTTTTTTCAAGGTTGAGCTTGTTCAATTGAAGCTAATGCTATGCTTCCCTTCCCTTGTTCAAGAGAAAGCGAGGACTTTCTTTTAGCTACCGGCCCAAACAAAAGAGATTAGCCTCTTGATCAATCGATTGATTGGATCCAAGTACGAAGGGGTTGATTAAAGTCTGAGTTCAGCCCAAGACTAAGGCCGAGCAACTAGCTGCTGCAGGATTGGACGTCTATCTATCTCACCACGCTCCCCTACTTCTATAAATGCCGGCGGAAGGAATGCTCTGCTCATCTTTCTTACAGCTCGTTACCTCAGCGCTCGTTCACCCCTTCGGCTTCTTCCATTCAAAAAAAAGGTAGTCTTTCCTTGGTAAATAGCGTCTTGAAGTGAAGCGAAGGCATTATTGAAGGAAAGAAATGGCGGGTCGGTCAATTGCATTAGGTAGGAGATGCAGGACCTGTCTTAACCGCAAGTGCATTCGCTATTCGATTCCATCCTAAATCCCACCAAATTTTGATTCCAAAGTGTGTATCTCTTCTTTACTTTTAAGTGACAAGGGGGTGACAAAGGGTATACTTTCTTCTCTATGTCGCCGTCTCATCAATGAGCGTAGATTAATAGCCAAGCCTACCCTTTTGTGCTTATCAATCTGTATCCCATTCTTCAGGTATAGTTTTCTTTGATCACAGATCGACAGGTGATCCGTCCTTTCTCCCCCTTTCGTCATAAGGCGTGGTCTGACTCTGAGAAAAAAAATTCCTGTGTTTAGGTCCCTACTAAGCATGATTCGTAAACTATGCAAAGGCTCTTTGAATACTTTTGAAAAGGTTTTTAGCAAAAAAAGCAAAAACAATTCTCAACGCCCATACAAGGTAGTGATGAGTTAAACTACTCGTGTTGGCATGGAAGTCAGCCCGGTAAACCGATTCCATTCTACTACTAGGGTTCCAAACCTTCCCCTGAGCTCTAGAATCTATAAATACCTTTTCAACTCAAGAAATGCTAAAGCTATTTAGAGTTGGTATTTCTAACTAAGTCGGAAGGAGGGCTTTGGGCAAAGAGCAACTCGAAAGTACTTTACTTCAGTCCCAGTACTGAAAGACGTGA